TCTTCTCTTCTCTTCTCTTCTCTTCTCTTCTCTTCTCTTTCTTTTCTTCTCTCTTTTCTTTTCTTTTCCTTTCTTTTCTTTAAAGGAAGTCTTCATTCCATGTATTAGATTTTCTGCTGAGGAAGCTGGGCCTTATTGTTGCAACCTGAACAACAGAGAGTCTGTGTCCAACAGACTCAATTTTCAGTACACCAAAAGAAACTGCCTGTCCCAATACAAAGTAACATAAAAGCAGCTGGATGCAGTCTTAGATCCAAACACAGCAGACCAGTGAGCATCCACAAACCTCAGCCTTGCCTGAAACAGTCTTCCTTGTACAGAAAAAATTCATCTGGAGGAAGAGAAGGAGAAAAGTTCTTCTTCCTATATGACAATTCAGAAAGTTATTGGGTATGAGGTTTTAGTTTTCAGGATTTGAGCCTTAAGTCATGAGTCCAAATCAATCTAGTACCCCAGAAGAATGGGAGCTGGTCTTGAGAATCAGAGGAGACAATGGCAGACAAATACAAATGTACACTGGAATGGGCCCACTGGAGTTTAACGGGAAAATAAAAAACCAAATCAGTGTTTTTAATCAATATATGAAGAGTGTGTTTGCTTCCTGGTGTGGCCTACAGTCAATACTATCCTGCTGAGAAATCAGAACACTAAGAAATAGCCCAAGCTGTTAACTGTGATTCTTTAAAGAAATTAAAAGAGTTTTGAAATTAAAATAAAGTCGAATTCCAACATATTTTTACCATATTATTTTAGTAAGACTTTTATTTTATTGTTTATTTATGTATTTTATTGTTTCTTCCATTTATATTGTTTCTTCCATAATTTTATGGCCAGTAGTATATGTCAGAAAAGTCCGTGTGTCTCACCCTTTGCACAAACTGAACACTTCAGTAGTTTCTTTTGAAGCTATTACATTCTGAAGAATTCAGCTCAAAGTAACTTGAAAATATTTTGGAAAGTTTTCAGATTAAAAGTTTTGAGGCTGTTAATTTGTGGGGGTTTTTTTCCAAGTTTTGTCAGCCAAGAAACACAAAATATTACTTGTAATAGATGGAAAAAATTCAAAGTCAACTCTAATGACGTGTTTCTAATTACTACTCAGAACTTTGTTTTTCTCCGTGAACACCACAGTAAAGTGACATAGTTTATATTTCATGGATTAGAAAGAAAGAATATCTAGGGAAAAAAACTGAATGTTAGCTCTATGAGGCTGCATACACTATCTACCTGAAAAGGAAAACACCAATCAAATTTTATCAATGAAACCACAGTATGTTGAAAAAAACCCACTGTAGTAAAGATATGGTGAATTTACAACAACAAAATTCCCCCTAATGTCATCAATTACCTCTTCTTCAGCTCCATATACATTATGTGCCCATGCTAACATTTTAATGGAACTGCCCAACTGAAAAATCCTTGTTTTGTTGCTGTACCTGTGTCTTGTTTGTAAAAAAACCTACACTCATTTGCAAATTTGTTCTATGAAACTATTTAAAAAATTAATTCAAATGGTCTAAAAATCAAAAGCAACACTGCTTATGGGATTTTTCTATGATCTTTCTGTATCTGACACAAACAAACATTTTTACAGAGATGGATTCATAAAAGCTACTGGATTGAATCCAAAGAGGAATATTATTATATTAACAATAATGACTATTATTAAAAAAATCAGTAACTAAAATAATTAAAAGTGTAAACTTCTAAGCACAGGCAGATTTCATCAACACCAACAACTTTTCATTACTAGTTTAAAACAATAATTTACCCAAAGCAAAATTTTAGTTACCTTCATGTTTCAATTTATTTTCTTATTATAAGAGTTTATATTTTTGGAAGGTCATTTAGCAGTGCAGAAATCCTGATCATAACAACATATGTTGTTCAGCTACATTTACCACATTTTGTCTTATCAATGTACATTGGGACTCACAGACTATACAGATGAGTTGTCAAGTATTTGAAACTGGATGTGCACAAAAAGTCTCAACTCAGTCTGTAAAGCTCTTCTCCAAAACATTTCAGTTTTGTCTAAACTGATTTTCTATCTATTTAGTTTCTTTTTAGTAACCATTTTACTTAAAGAGCAGCTACAAATAGGACAGAGGGTCTCCTCTGGGGCCAAAACAGAGAAGACAGGGAAGAGGGCAACAGGGAAAAGTTGCACTGGGAGAGGTTTTATCTTGATACATGAAAGTATTTACAGTAAGAACAATCATTCACTGGAACAATCCCCTTAAGGATGTGCAGATTTTCAAGAAGCAACTGAGTGGGGTGCTGGATAATCTCACCTTGGGTCCCCTTTGCACAGAAGCACCAAGGAATATCTCATTCATTATATAGATAAATCAATTTATGGATTACTTAGTTGCTCAGTATGACTGAACTATGTTTCTGAATCAAAGGGCTATACTTAAAACATTCTTTTAAGCATTCCTACTAACTACAATTATCTCAGAAGTTTATCAGAATTCTGAAAAAACAAAAAACAAACAAACAAACAAACCAATCAGAAAGAGCTGATTGTGGGATAATGTATAAACTATTTTTACAGTAAGCTGACATCTTGGGGTCAGTAAGTATCAGTGAGTGGGCTGAAATATCCCCAAATGAGAGTACGACTATGACTGTGCTCTTTTTTCCTCCTTTTTTAGTTTTTCACGTAATAAGAAAAATATATAAGTGAGCATACAGTTTTCTTAAAAGTAACAACGTATCCAAAGGCTGAATAAGCCTTTTACTTATATGTTTTTTATATAAGAAGGAATGATTCAAAAAACAGTTACCAGGAAAAGCAATGTTGAATAAATATAATTTCCGAGAGATGGTATGTCCCTGAGGTCTTGTTCAGAGACTCTCACAATAAAAGTCCATTAAAATTATTTACCTCTACAAGGAAAGAAACGAAGGAAGTGACTTTAAAGCTTTTAAAAAAAATTTTAACAATCTGTTTAAGAGGGAGTTTTGGCATGGGAGAAGGCAATGGCTCCATTAGAGAATCAAAAATATCTAGATTGTGAGAACTTCTGTTTGGCATTATTCCCAGAGCACAAAGCCACACACAAATAAATTCCTTACTATAGGCTTTATCCCAAACAGGGGGATTCTTTTCTCTCACTAGGATCTTTACTTCAAATCTTGGTCCGACAAAATTCAAATGACTTCTTACTTTCATAAATGGTTTAAATTATATCATCAGTTTAAAATGAAAAAAAGACTTTGTTTAAATTTATCTTTTATCTGTCACTGTGATTAGCAAATTAGATCATTCCTACTGGAAAAATATATATACCTTTCTCTCCCTCTTTTTTATTTTTTTTAATTTTAATTTTCATATGGCAGCATCTCTCATATGACTTTCAATATTAAAAACTACACTTTTATTTCTGTTGCTGTGAGTTAAGGAAAAATACAGAAAGGAGGAGAAGAGCCCAATATAAATGGCAGAATAAAAGGGAAAAGAAAGACAGTGTTATAAATCCAAACAAATTTCAGATGGCAGGAGCAAGACTAGCTTTTGAATGTGCTTTTGACTTAATTTTTCACAGCATACCCTTTAAATTGTTTACATTTCAGCAACAAGTATGCAGAAAACAGCATAATTTTCCCAGAAAATGCTGTCACAAAACCAATGGAACAATTACTGCATCTCCCTCTCTTCATCGTAGAATGAATATACAAAACAGAAACAATTCTTTCTAAATAACATAGTTTGAAATGTTTGGAATGTTAAAGGCTGATTCTTTCCTCAAACTGAACTACAATTCAAATCTCCATCAAATATTCGCCTTTCAAATAAGAACTAGTGTACTTTTTCTCAACCTTCATAATTTTTAAATCTCTACAAAAACCTTGCTACAATCCATAAGACACAACACAGAACACAACTGTTGCCTATTATGATGACCATTAAAATCTCATTCTTTTCTTTTGACAGTCTGTTATATTTATGAATTTATTTTCTCGTCTTACATTAAACCATAGAATATCTCGAGCTGGAAGGAACTCATAAGGGTCACTGAATGCAACTCCCTGCTCTTCACAGGAGTACATAAGATCAAATCATATGACTAAAAGCATTGTTCAAATGCACCCTGAACTCTGACGGGCTTGGTGCCATGACCACTTTCCTGAGGAGCTCTCAGTGAAGAATCTTTACTAATGTTCAGTTTGAATTTCAGATCCAAGACCTTGGTGGGATGAGAAGTTCTTCCTAAGCTGTCTCCATTCTGTCTTGGAATTTACAATTTACTGCTGCCTCCTGCTGTGTCAAAATCATTGTTGGTGGCTGCAAAATAACTTGAATGACAAAACCAACAAAGGTAAAGACTGCACTTACGAAGTGTTTAGCTTCAAACTTACCAAACATATCACAGAAGTGGCTCTGATGATAAGTTTCACGTGTATTTCCACAGGGCAAACCTTGTAATTAATATTTCTAGATACCAATATTACATAACATATGCTAAAAAAAGCAATACAAAATCGGAATTTTTCAAAAGAAAATGAAGATAATTTTCATAACAGTAAAAATGGAAATTTAAGCTTTTTTTGAGTTTATCACACTACCTTCTTCCAGGATGGGTCTCAGCACAACAAATGGGATTTCTTGCAAGGGTTCCATGTGTTTGTGTCCAGCACTCATAACCTTTATCTGGGGCAAGCAGACGACAAGTGTGCCAGGCATACTGGCCTGCCCATGGTACCAGCTTCGCACAGTCCCGGGAATGTCACCCGATACAATAGTACTTGGAGAAGGCAGGCTATCATTTGGAAGGAATACACAACAAGATTGCACTTCAAGCTGAAAAAACAAAGCCAAGAAAGATTCTCAGAAATAGATTATTTCCCCCCACCACTGGGGACTATTCATCTTGGTACAAAATCTGAAGTTATTCATTCATCACAGCTAAATGAAAATCGTCTTAACTTTTAGTTGAATTTAGAGGAAAGATGACAGAAAATGTTGGAAAAAAATATATTCTTGTAAATTATGATTATGGGAGGGAGAAGAAAGATGATTTTGTTCTGTTAATTAATCAGAAAGGTGTTGCCATATAAAGTGAACATACATATATCTTCATTTCAACAGCTTTTTACAAGTGCAATTGAGTCAGAAAATGTTCTTACAATAAAGCTGAGAAAGTCCGCCTCTTTTTGCAGTTCATTAGCTTTTGTTAGCAATAGCTAAGTCTCTAGAACTAGCCAACATTTTGTATGCTGTTACTCTTTACAAAAACAACTGTTTCAGGGAAAATTCTGTCTTTACCTAACAGACAGCAATAGTGAGCATATACAAAAAGGTTGATCATCAGATAAACCAAACTTTAGTGAAAAACTGACTTTTAAACAAATGCAGAGGTGCATATGTACACTAAGAGAAACTAATAAAGTCGGCAAAGTTTATACAGCTTTTGTCCTGTTTTCATTGCAAATGAGAAGTAGCAAATATGTTTTTACACAAAATAGCATTTTTCCATTCTTTATTTTCAAGTAATATTTTTACCCTGGAGCATTTCTGACCATTTTGACATCTTCTTACAAGTTTCTAGCAAGGCTGAGTGAGCCGAAACCAAGAACTCAACTCATTAAAACTTGTTCACTCAGAGTTGGTGTGAACTGCAGGCTGTTAGTCTTGCTTGGCTCTTGCAAATACCATTCTGGCACCTGGATATCAAATAGCTCTAACAGCCTGCACACACTTGAATGCTTTGTTAAGCAAATGCAAGCTATGAGTCAGTTCATTTCTTCGCACTGCTTGGAAAAGTCTAACATACAAAATGTTGGACAAGGTGTTATTTGTAGCTATGATAAAAACATTTATTTGCTGTAAACTTACGTAACAGTCTTTCAATTTTACGTCATTAAAGACAGAACAGCTTAAAAGCCATAAACAAGGTTTCTACTTCATACTCTCCCCTGAAGGATATTAGGCCCTCAAGATCACAATAGTGATTTGCAATAGAGCAGAATTCCCCAGCACCATAAGCACTTTGCCAGTCTACTAAGGAGAACACAGATATTCATCTTGATTTAAGCATTTTTGTGCCCTTTTGCTTAGGAAAAACCGACAAGAATTCACTGCAAAAAAATATAAGTAGAATTCTGGAAAAATAAATACATTGTTACATGAAGTCTGTGTTTGTTTCTGGTTTTAGAACTGTTTGAGTTGTAAAATGAAGTTAATTACATCTTTGATAAGTAGTTTATTGATCCAAGGTTGCAGAGTGTACTTTATTTATACTGGATGAAAAGCTAGGGTGTATTGTTACAGATGTAATAGATTTGGACCTTTTTTTTTTAAAGGGTAAATTAGTCATTGTGTCAATTTGCAAAGGTTTTTACAGTGACACATTAGATCGTTTCCTGGTCTATTAGTAATAGGTTGCAGGTCAAGCCATTGTGGGATAATGATAAATAGATGACAGAAGAACTTATGATCAGTATAACTATTGTTTTATCTGTGCATTTGCTGAGTAAAGAGTTTATAAAAAATCATCCATTCTTCATATACATATACACATATATCTATATATATATCTCCATGATGATTAAGATCAAATGCTGCCAGGATATACAAACCATGTGGTAGTAATAATCAAAAAATCTCACCAACTTGAAAAGATAACTATACTTTGTCACATTACCTGCAGCAGGATCTACAGGACGTATTTTACAAAGCACTCTTGAGAAGAGATCTCGGTACTTGGTACAGAGTTTTTGCACTTCATTTACAATTCAGTACAGCTTTGTACTAAAGAAAAGCTCTTCAGATCACTTTTGTTTTATTTTACTTTGCTGTATCAAGAATACTGAAGGTGAATCACAACAGTTTCACTCCTTTAAACATCTGATTCTCTTTTACAAAAGCAGCTCTTTGTCATTCATTTTCAAACAACTGAATGGGAGTTGGATCATGAATTTTGGTGGGCTTTACATGATAGCATCAGGCCCTCCATAGCTGTGATACATGCATTCAACCTTCTTAACCAGACCAGCTGTAGCTCAGTACAAGTTCCAAAGGAGGTAAAGGCCTCTGTAGATGGGTCAAGAACTCCTCCAGGAAACCCACAAAGGGCAAAGTGACCCAGGGAGCATGGATGCCTGGAACGCTGATCACGCAATTAACACTTGAATAGCAGGTGTTTTTTCCAAGACTCAGTTATCAAGGAACAAAGAAAGCCATGGGTAGAAGGAGTCTCTTGCACACCCTTCCCACTATACGGCATTTGATTCGAGTCAATCACTTTACCCCATAAAACGACAAAGTGAACGTTCTCTGAGCTTTCCCTAATAGTCAGCATGGCTGCACAGCAGTGACGTCCCCTTGAACTGGGACACCTTCTACAAACAACAGATCTCTGGATGAGGTCAAGTTTTCTCAAAATTGCAACCGGACTGCACACCAGTAACTCCCCCCTTGGGCTGGGATGCCTCCCAGGGTTTGAGTGTCTGATCTGAGACTGAAAGATCCTTCTGCACCCAAGGCACAAAGATCTCTTCTTTGCAATAGATTCTCAGTAAGCTGCTGATAGCATGTTAAGTTAATACTAACGACATCTATGTAGTTAATTCCTCTATATAACAGACCATGGTCAAAGTCTGAGACTAAGACTACACCAAACTGCACTCCATCAGGAGTTTAGAAAGCAAGGAGCTCTACTCTGAACCTTGTGACTCAGTGGGAGGACTTCCTTGCTCTTTGTATTTTTTCCATCAAATATAAACTGTTGCCCAGCCCTGAGATTAGGATCAGATCTAGTTGCACCTAAGCTCCATCAGAGGCTTAAGCAAGCAAGTTATCTCACCCTTTTTTGTTTTCAGCCTCCACGTAAATGCCAAGTTTATTCTATTTTCCTTTCTATGTTTTGCCCATGTAGTAAGTGATAAAGTGAACATTGCTACTGAACTTTGCTAAGTTGCAAAATTCCATGTTTTAGAGAAAATTATGCAATTATTATGAACACATAAAAAATTTCCAACTTGTATACAAAAAGACCCAAAAAAGGCAAAATTGAATTGCACCTGTTGAACTTCTCAGAGGCAGATTCTGCTTATGCACAACTATCAACTTCAATGGAATTTGTTTACGTTTACCCAGCTGCATCTGTATATCTCTCTACTTACAAGTTCCAGTAAAGGAATGGAAGAGTACACCTAAAACGATGGAATTACATGTTGGACAAAAGTAAGAATGTGAGCTACAGATTGCTTCACCAATTGGAAAGTATTTTAAAATATATGTAATCCAAATTCTTAAAATTAAACTACATTAATAGCATATATTAAAGCTATCATATAAATCTTTTTACACTTTTTAAATAACTGTTAAATTGTGTGCCTAAAATTGTGAAATTAATGTAAGATGTGACTGATTTATGTAACTGAATATAAATCTGCAGCAGTAAATCTTGCATTAATGTAAGGATCTGACAATCCAAGGGAAAGAAAATGAAGTAATCTGCCAGTAAGAAGTCCTCAAGCTGGGGGTCAGATCCTGTTCATGGAAACCATCTGGTTGGGACCCTCCAAGCCACACCAAACACAAATGATCTTTTAAAAAAATATCCTATTCATTAATGCTTCGCAGCTGCACTGAGTGTTACTTCATTTTTCCATGGCAACATCCTTTCTGTTTCAAGGATCTTATTTCAGTTTTGGTAGCAACATGTTCGTTTGCCAATACTGAACACATTCATGTGTTAAAGAGAAGGAATTATTACAAATTCTTGAAACAGGATCACCTCCTATTTTCTTTTTTATTATGTCAAGGCCTATACATGCTAAATAACATACACTAATGATAAGCCAATGAAGTAAGCAGTATTTTCCCTTTTACTTTTTAAAAGTTATGCAAAGCAGATTGCTCTATGCTTTTATTAATATATAAGCCTAAAAAGTCCAATTACTTTAAGACTTATATAAAAAGGAAAGTATTAAGTTACTGAAATAAATAAAGTATTTCTAATTCATAATGTATAAAAAGAGAATGTTGCACATTAGAGAGAATACTGATATAAATACTGACGAAGAATTAGATCTTCCTGAGCAGAGTGAGTGGGAGGGAAACAAAACAAGTGACACTCCACTGTTATCCTGCACAAGTGCAACCAAGTGGGACAGGTTGTACAAGAGTCTTTATAGCCTTTCATGATAGTCATACCACAAGGAGATTCCCTTCCATAACCCACATTTCACAGCTACATAAAACAATTATAGGCACCAAAGATTTTCTACAAGGTGACACTTGTATAAGGGTGTCTCTCCTGAGAAGTTGCCTCTCTCCTCATCATCCCATATATGCTCTTGGCATATCTGTTTTTCTTGGCTAATGTGTTTTTCTGGGGTTCTCAATTACAGAATATCATCTTGCAATGACTCCCCAAAGTGCTGAGAACTGCTGTCACACATCTTGTGTAGGGGTTCTGGTGCGCTCAGTGTCATAAGACCATAGCTCACATTCTGACTTCCAACTTAGTTCTACCCATTTAGTCCATTCACAGTTGAGCCAGAGATACACCATTTGTCAGAATTTTAAAAGGCAGAACAGAAATTTGTGTTTTGAAGTTATACAGAAAGTAAAAATTATATATAAATGGAAAACAGAGCACATGAGTAGGAGAACTAAGTGAGCAGGCTACCTGTACATAAAAGTGAGCATAATATGGATCAGCTGCATTTTCCTTGACCACTTAAAACACAGAGGCTTTGTACTACATAGTATTCCTGTTTTTTTCTAGGAAAAGTTTTAAACCTTTTAAGAAGGTTTTATTTAGTTATGGAAAACTCAATTTTGTGTTGGTTTGTGGTAAGTAACCAGCTTAAGAAATGATCCTATCTCACAACTGCTGAATAACTGCTGTGAGCTGTTACTGCTAAGTTACAAGTCTCAGAATCTCTTCCTGAGCCCTGGATAAAGACAATGTTCAAGGAACAGGAACTGTCATCAATTCCATCCTTCCCTTTCTGGCCTTTCAATGTTTCACTCTGACAAAAATTTTGTACAAGTTATATGTTCTAAAGAAAATATTATTTTCAATAATTTCAGGAAACAGACTTTTTTTTTCAAATAAATTAAGGGGAATTTAAAGGCATGTGGCATATCTAAGTTTTATAAGTAACAATTACACTCTTCTTTAGTTGGCATTCATTGCAACATTACTCATTAATTCATTTACTTTTAATACAGATCCTTCATTGTTCTCACTGGAATTCAGCATTAACAGCCAATTAAAATTAATTGTGTTTATACTGCTTCGCAATTTTAGCAACTATTAGTATGAAGAACATGTGAAAAGTGAGTATTATTCTCCTACACAGTGTAACTGCCAAAAAGACTTCAAGGCTGCATATAAAATCCTACAACAACTAAATAATAAAACAACTTTTTATAGTTTAGTATGAAAGTCTTTTAACTTACATACTAATAGCTTAAAACAACTCCAATGCACAAAATCTTCATGCAATATTCTATCAAGAGCAAGCCAGGGCTAGGGCTAAGAAAGTACCAGCTTTGGATCCAAAATAAACTTTGTAGTTACTTTGGTTCCAAACTCATTTACTTACTCAAACTTCCACTAAAAGAATAATCTTTTGGTGATTTTAAGTTATGAAGTTCAGTTTTATCTGATGACAACTACAGACTTTTCTGTTCTACAATGATACTACTAAAATATCCAGGAACATGAAAATTAGCTTAAAAAAAAAAAAAAAAAAAAAAAAAAAAAAAAAAAAAAAAAAAAAAAAAAAAAAAAAAAAAAAAAAAAAAAAAGCCACAGAGTCTAAGTGCTCCAGCATTTAACCAGACAAGTTATTCCAGAGATTTGCCTTTTTCATGTAAAATAATAATAAAATACAGAAAATGTATATGAATTTAACATATAAATATCCTTATTTGTGTTTAATAATATGCATATTATGTTTAATAAAATAAATATACTTGAATTGAAAAACAGTTATAACCCTCATTTTCTTTCCCTCTATATATTGCCTTGCACAAATTTCCCATTCAGGCCAGCACTGAAGGAAACAAGCTATATAAATGGCATTTGTGTCTTGAAAAACATATTTAAATAAATGGACATAGGGACTACTAGCAGCAATAAAAAGAACAGCAAGCATATCTATAAATCTGTCATATTTTACTAAGAACTACTGCATGTTTGTGTGGAAGCACATTCTTGAACTCTTCCTGTAAGGTTTCTTTGCAGTCGTTGAAACTTTTCATTGATAACATGCAATATCTTTCTGGTAAGATACTGGCAAATTCTTTACCAAGTACATTCAAAGCATAAGGATGAAAACACAACAGAAGTGTGTAAGGTACTGTATCAATTTATTGGGGCATTTAATTTCAATATATAAAAAACCTAAAAATATAATTTCATAGTCATAATGATGAAAATAGAAAGCATGAGTACTCTAGCAAAAAATTCCCTGTAAAAAGTAAATAAATCTAGAACCTCAAACACTAGAAAAAGTACCCAATACAAAAAACCCTCTGCCAGTACTAGCTCTTATCTGTGAATGTATTAGGTCAGAGCAGAAATATATTAATTAATTACTCTCTAAGAAACCCTCTATCACTGTCACCAGCTTTCAAAAAAAAAAAAAACAACAAACCATTACCTTTCTTTTTTTTCTATCTAGTAACATGTAATCTTCATTTTTAGCTGGTTGTTATCTTAACCATTCTTCAAAACAAATTCACTTGTCTGGTTTCTCTCAAAAAAACATACCATGAAAAATGTATGAGCAGAGGATCCTAGCCCTGATTCAATTTTCCCTATTTATAAAAGATCCATCTCTTCTTCATCTTCATCATATTATTATTTTCATTATGACTCAAACTGTATGTCTCACATGTGTTAAGTACCATCCAGACACATAACAAAAATACACTGTTTCCTTCAAACAGCTTACAAATTGTCTCTCTTACCTAGACATTTTAAGCTACAGTGGTGATAATATTAAAAAGAAAGGAAAACAAGTAAAATACTCATGAAACAATGATGAAAGATAAAGCTGAAAATTAAACAGAGTTAATAGGAAGCATCTCCTCAACTTCATGATGTTCTACAATCAGGTCACAAGTCTCAAGTTCTTGCTCAGGCAAAATTTGAACTTTCAAACTTCTCAATATTGTGAATAGTAAGTACTATCTACAGGAAAGAGAAGTAACACAGATACAGGTTCTGGGATGAGCCTGAATATAAATAAATACATTTCTTGGTAGGAAGAAGGAACAAGCATTCAATGAGTACTTCCTACAATGTTGGGGTTTCTTGTGATTATTTTTCTTTTGTAAACAAAACCAGCTTTGGTACTATATACTGGGGTACCATAAAATACCAATCTCATAGAACATATGGTTCAAAAGGCACAGGTTATAGTAGTTCTAAATTAGAGTAATTTCTCAGCAAGCTCTTGATAAGAACTGGGAACAGTCTTACTTCTAGCATTTCCAAGTGATCTAATATTTGTTCATGCAATCTTAACATTGGACTTCTAACAGAGTACCAAGACTGCTACATGAATACCCTCCTCTTACTGATCAGCAACCACCATCTAGAGCAGGATAAACTGAAATGCTTTAAGCTGAGCAACAACTACTCATCCTTCTTGACAAGGTACACAATTAAGCTGCTGAGCCTTCACTGTGTAACAGCATTTTGTATCATACACCCTGAGAAATTATTTCTCATACACGCTTTCCTCAAGTATTTTTAGAAAAGAAGGCATTCTTCAAATCTAACCACAGATCCAAAGGTGTATATCCATGTTTATAATACAGAGAAGTGTGATGAGCAATTTTTCTTCATATAATTTTTTAGGAATCTTTCCCTCAAATACAACAAAGTATTTCAAAACCCAATATCCTAAATCTAAAGCATTCTTTGCTTAATTTACCCAAAATCTGTACTTTGTTTTTCATTCTCTCAGACTTTGAAACTACTGAAATAAGACAATAAAACTGCGAGCTCCTTTAAAAACCCTCTAATAAAAAGTACTAGGATGCATAAAAAGTATCATAAAGTTTGGAAAGACACAGGTTTTTTTCACTTCCTTTTCATCTTACCTGAAGTGTAAGGCACTTAACTGCATTCCACACTATTCCAATAAATTCCTTCATTCTTTCCTCAGGACTTCTGCAACTTTCAGATGAGTTCAGCATGGTTTTCACAGGAAGTGACAAAGGACGAGATTCTAATGCAAACAACAAAACTCAGTTATAAAAAGAATATCTAACTAAATAATATACTTACCGAGATTATTTACTTAAAATTCTAGAAGAGATTTTCTCTCACTGTGTATATCTCACAGTGGACATGATAATAATGTGTCTATTTTAGGTTTTAAACCTGGCAATACAACTGTATTGGTTCAGCCTCATGAGAAACGTGATGCAATTTAGTGAAATCAGATGCTTAAACTTTTTTAATATAAACTGCTACAAAAATATTATGAAGAATGTTTGACCTAGCCAAATTAAGGTAATTTTCAAAGTGTGATAACCTATTTGGTGATGGAATAGAAACCCCAGAGGTTTTCACATACTTTGCTGCCAGTGTCATCTAAAAGTTTCATCTTTCTAAAATTATAAGAAGTGAAAGACAGCCCATATTTAATTACAGAGTTTAATTTGTTTTCTTTAAAAAATACATTAAAAATTTGACTGTGTTTCAAAAGAAGGCATAAAAACTAAACCATTTTCTTACTTTGTCAAGATTAAAGGTATTAAAGTATGAAATATTTCAGTAAAATTCAATTTTTTCTAGTAAAAAGAGAAATTTTCTTAAATTGTTAATTATTTCATAACATGAAAATATTTTATATAACAGAAGCATTAAATTGAATATGAGCATAGTATAACTTTAAAAGAAGACTGAGTGGTGCATAGTTCCCTCTGACATCTTCTACAGAATATCCTTCTTCTTATGTTTTGGGATACCCACCAAACTATTGTCACCTTCTTAAACATTTCCAGATTTGGCCTACATGTTGTTGAACTGATAAAACTGCAGGAATAAATTATGAGATCTCCATGACATAGATTTAAACTAAATCAAAATCAGCACATGTATGCACAATCAGCACAGGTATGACAATTTATGTCTACCAATTATAGAGCTAAAAAAACCCTTTGGCATACAAACTACAGAAAAATTCTTCAAACAAAACTATGCTACCAACTGAACTCAGGAGAGCAAAAATATAAGCTCCTTGATATGCATAACTGAGTCTTCAGACAGTTTAATCATGCAATGAAAAATGCAGAGATTTAAAACTGAAACATCTAAGAGGTGAATTTCTGCCAAGAGCGTGCAGTGTTAATGCCACAGGAAGAATGAATTTGTGACTCTTTCCCTGTCAAGACTAGATTTGATTATTATTCTAGGAAAAAATCCTTCAACAAATAGTATTTTTAGTGACCTCTAAGAGCAACATTCATTTTATTCAAATGACGGAGAATCCGAACATTCAAAAAGAGAGGTGGTTAAAAGAGTGAAAGAATTTTTATAGCTGCAGTATAATTAATCCTCACAGATATTCCTGGCTCCAATTATGGATATCTTAGAAGGATAAGGAATGAAAACTGGCTCACGAGAATGTAAAATGTGTGACTTTTCATGATTGTTGTCGGTATGATGGAGAGAAAAACATGTAAATTGTTCATATGGAGAAGCAGGATGCTGTAACTGTTTCATAATACCTTCTCACACAGACACTTATGCCATGCAATTGGTCTTCCCTCCACATTATGAATGGATTCGGTTAAAACAGACATTTAGTGAAGAATAGCTGTTCTGCTGTAACTTCTTACTCTACCTCAGTTCACACTGTCTTCTGTGCGAGCAAGACCCACACTACACGTATTACAAGGTAAGAATTAGGAACAGCTGGAGTACCAAGAAACATTAAAATATAAGAGTTTTTGAAGCATAGAACTCTAGAACACAAGTGTGGGTAAGGGTGAGAACAGCATACAAAGTCACTGGGAGACTCTGGAAATTTCACAGGTAGGATGCTTCAGGTCAGGATGAATAGATAAATACAAAGGAAGCCGACATATTCTACAATGCATTCAGCAAGGACTATCAACATCCTATACTGCTGAACAAGCACATCCCTCATGAGTGGGATTTAAAGCCAGGTTTTGTTCCAATCTCCCATGTTTTATTTGCAGGGAAGCACTCCACTAATTCTCTCTCAATAGGGTGAATAGCCAGAAACAACAATCTGTGAATTAAAAATAAAATTTGCTCACTGAAGTAGCACTTGTTTCTCTTCATATGTGTAACCGAAACTTGCAAAGCTGATAAAAATCCAAAAATATCCATGATAGAAAATAACCTCACTGTAACCCCTCATGCTCAACAAAAAGAAAAAAAAAGAAAAAAAAAAAGTCTCAAACCCCAACAAAAGGATAAGAAACTATCCAACCAGAGATCATGGAAAATAGAAAAGAAATAAGGAATAGGGGAAAGAAGAAACAAGCATAGAAGTAACTCCTGAAGAGAACAGAACAAAGAAGTCCTCTTTTAATTTTTTTCCTGTATTGGTAAATCCCAGAGTTTTGTCTGAAGGGATGCTGGGACAGAACAATATCTTAATTCCCTGTTGGGCAAGGACATCAGTAGATGACACTTGCTAAGAGCCTGTCAGGTGTGGTTACCATGTGTGTTTGGCTAGTCCTCTATAGCAGACATGTAGACTGGATCAGCTCCATCTGTCTTGGTAAGAAGGTTAATTTCCTAAAATAATTATGCTACTTAGCTACTACTGAATTGAAAACCTCAGAACATTTCCTGGCACTGTAATCAGCCTTGTGTTGAAGCCAGATGCCAGTCAGCAACCACTAGACAGAAAATAAGATTTGTATGAAACACTTGGAAATTTATGAAGAGGGAAAGCCCAAACCAACACAATGGAGGGGATGCTGCTTCAGGTTGTACAAATAGAAGTTTTAAGAAAACCAGTGTACAGGAACATAAAATATTCCTACTCTCATCTTCCAGTACCATATAATTGAGATACCCATAACTGGTATTTTTGTAAACATATACACATCCATTACAGAAGCTGCCACACTCATCATCAGTTTCAGAACAAAACAGTAATGAACAGACTTTTCAAAAAGGACTGATCAGATCAATCAGGACTGAGCTGCCAGAAGGAGCAGTTTTCATAAATAATTTCATATATTATGGTTAAAATACATAGAGAGTTAAAAGTGGTACTATGAAAAAATTAATCTTTAAAGGATTCACTTTGTAGGAGAGGCCACCAAGCCAAACTATAGGTATAAATTCTAGTTAGAGGTGTCTTTCTTAGATACATGTCTCCTTCTTTGTGTTTTTTAGACTATGGGGAACAAGTTGTTTTACAAGTCTGATCCATAAAATGAATACACTTCAAAAATAAAAGAGAACTTTTGGGAAAATGACACTACTCTGGGCTATTAATATTCTCTGGTCTAAGGAACAGAAAAGGGAAAACTTTTGAAGTGTGAAGATTTTGGACAAATGGACATTTCCTAAAATAAATCAAAGCAAAAAAGATACAGATCAGAGATCTTCCACTACGGAATTGAAGAATAACATATTGATAATATGTACTCACTGCTGGCCTCATTCCTTCAGTTCCTCCTTTCTCCTTATTGCTAGCAACCAAACTGAAGGAAGGCAAAATACAATGCTAAGACCTTATTCCTCATTTCTGTGTGGTACAGATTTATCATGTCTCATCTCTGTGGCACATCATGCCACAACAACTCATTTTTCCTGTCCCACTGTGTGCCCCAGATACCTGATGCATTAACAAGTCAGCAGCTTCTTTCTGCTTGGAAAAGGTTATCCTGCTGCAAGCAAACCCATGCTTTCAGTAATCCCCAAAAGCTCAAAGAGCTCCTACTTCAAGACGAGTCCATAGACAGACACCCACAGCAGAAACCTGAGTCTGTCAAGTGACCTCAGCAAGTTGGGTGAGCTTTCCTTCCCACATCCTGTCATCTGTCATACAGCTTCTCACACATCAGAAGGGAGCTAAGCTGAGGAAAACATTGCAAACTACCCATAGTTACTAAGAGGCTATGATAGCAAAACACATGAACATTATTTAAAAGTATTTAAAGGAAGAAAAAAATCAAAGGAAAAGTGGTCTGCATAGTGTCAAAGTAATGATTGGGATTTCTTTAGTATGTATTCAGTTTCATGCATTAGACATGAATTTCTATGAAAAACCCCAAAACTAAGATACTTGCAACAAATGCAAACTCTTAAGGAACTGATCAAGGGCTTAAGGCAATAGAAATGAGATCAAAATGCAGTGGAGGAAAAAATGAAAACTTCAAACAACCTTGAAAAAAACCAAAATGGCCTACAGACATATATATATATGTATGCATATATATATTATTTTTTACAGAAGATAAACTGGTTTCTTTACATGCAAAACAAACCAAAAACCTGTATTTACCAATTATCTGAACTGTCAATGCTCTTCAGAAGTCTTTCAGAAATACTCATATTTTATTTTTGCAGTGTTATAAGAGAAGTTATTCTCCATATCCCCATTGTTGGATGACTGATATTTGAATTATTCATATAAATGTGTTTTTTTTTCTGCAAGGATAGACTATGAAAAATACTTTTTATAGTTTGCACTCTTCATCAGGATGCTTGAGAATAACAGCAGTACTTGACTAACTTTAATAACAGCAGGAAATTCTTTTAGGCTTATAAAAATATGCAATATACTTGCTGGCATACTGAATAGTATTTACATAAATAATTACTGGCCTTTGAGCATTTTTGCATTCTACTTTACTAATAGTACAGATAACACATTACTTTTATCTATCAAGATGATAACTGCACCCACACAGTCCCTGACAACTCGTGAGAGCGAGTCCTTTATACCCAGGGAAACAGCAGCAGAGAAGTGCAGTGATCGAATTTGCACGGCCATTCGATGAGTTATCAGCAGAGAAAGTGTTAAAATACAGAGGCTTTTAACACACTGTCAGTAAACAAAGACAAATGTGATATTAACACTGTTGTGCAACCCAAAAGGATCTTTCTGTGTGAAAGTGTGTGTTGGCCAGGGAATGGCTGTGGTCAGCATTTTCTCCCACCAAATTCTTAGTGATTGCAGCACTATTTCTGGCAAAAAATACCTATTTTGCTCTGGGAACAAAAATAAAA